AAGAAAAGTGTATAGTTAAAAAAGCAGACTAAAGTTTTATTTTATCATTTTTACTTCTGTTAACTAAATATGGTTGTTATGGGTTTAATGACTTATATTAATTAAAATTATTTTTTCATTGATATTAAACATTAAACTACTTTAGGTAAATAGCTCAGCTATTAAGTTTTAAATTAGTCATGGATTTACATTGTCAAAACTGTATTCATTAAATGTTTTTCTAAACATTGTGAGCTCAAAAGTCGTAGGAGATTAAGCCTGTATTTTAAAAATGGACTGTTTGAAGATTTTTTTTCACAAATAGTTATGTAGATTTACTTATGAAACATGCATAACAAGAAAAAGGCTCCTGAATTTAGACAGTATTTCTGTTGGTTGCAGCAGGACATCCACTGCCAAAATTATTTTGATCAGTGTTAGTATATTAGTTAGTTTATTTAGAGTTTAACATCTGAATAATTAAAAAATAATTTTTTTAAAAGGTGGAATTCTAATTGCTCAGTGAATAAAACAAGCTTAGGTACTTTTGATTTTCATTATTATCAGTAAAGCAGTGAGTACTAGAAATGTCTTTGTAAACTTTATTTTTGTGTGACAATGGCAAAGAGTTCAAGGGAGGGTCATAGAAATTGGTATGCAGGCAGCCAGTTTCTTAAAATTTATTTGAACTTGAGTCAAACTACTGACTTTCAACTGTCTTATTCATTTAGCCACCTGTAGGACTTTAAAAACTTTTGATAGTTATATATAATCTAAGAAGCTGTCATGGACAAGAGTTTGTTGTTTAAATCATTTTTTGTTTTGTTAAATATCTCTTACTGTGTTATAAGTTTAATAATGCTGACTTCAGTAAATAGTTAAATAAGTGACTTCCTTTATATTTTAACAAGAATTTAATATGGCTATTTTTTAGTGATATTAAGGCCCGTCCACACGAGGACGCTCCCGACGTAGTTGACGTAACTTATTTGATGCCGGCGTAAATTCGCATGATGCAGAAGACGTAAAACTGAGTACGCTCCTGTTCAGCTTTTTCGCCTGCGACGCCCGCGTATAGCCAATAGCTGACCGAGTTCTTATCACGTGTCATAATCAGAAAACCTTCTTGCTTACCCGTTTCAATATGGCGCACAGAGATGAGTTTTTGCTTAGAAATATAACTGTGTACAGCAATAAAATAATCAGCATTGTTCACGCCATCTTCAGATTTCTCAAACCGTACATATTGGTATACATTTAAAATTCTCATTAAAGGGGAAAACTGTATATTTATAAAGCAATGATCCGACCAGTATATCCATATGCTTCACCTATTTATAACACCGTAAGTAATAGGAACCTAAATAAATTACAGTTTCTACAAAATCAAAGCTTCTGCCTTACAAAATACTCCTTAATTATTATTAATATTGGCTATATCATGTGTAATAAAAAGCTCTATAAATATCCCAATATTAAATACACCAAAAACAAACTTCAGCAATAAACCAACTTCTAAAATAAAGCAGTTGACTGTGAAAGACTATTCAATAAAATACAATTACGACATTTTGGAGGAATTGTACAACTTGTGTCATGCAGCAATCATTTATTGAAGTTTAATTAAATTACCTTTGCAGTGACTTCTACTTGTTACATTATTTTTCACAAACAATGCTGTCACAGATAGCTGAGTGGTCAGCGCGCTGCTTTGGTGGCGGAGGAATGGAAAGGTGGCGAGTTCTAACCTCACCCGTAGACAGTATTATAATAATTCAGTTAGCTTTTCTCATTTTGAAACGTGTTTCTTCTATTTAATCATGAATCATTTTATTCTTTTTTTACCTATTACCAGTTTTCATTTTTTATATTATTCATTATTGTTATTGTTTTTAATTTAGTTTAAAAATGTGCAGTGCAAATAGAAATCCTTATGTAATAATATATCTGCATCTCTTTATCATATATCATCTATAAATTCTCTCTTTATTTTTACTTTATTGCATATTTTATCATGCACATAATTTCTCATAAACTGTCCAAAGTTTGAACCTCATTCTAAATTAAAAAATAAATAAAAAGAAAAACAAAAGACCAAGGGAGAGGGAGTTAAAAAAATATGAAGTTTGTTTTATTATATGGTGGATGGTGTATATAAAGAGAATTAAGTAATTTAATTCTCTTTATATACTGTATTCCAAACCAATTTTATAAATCCTAATTTTCATACGATATAGAATCTGCAAGTCTGTCAAACTGGTCGATACTCATCCTGAAGGAATTAAAAAACAAGTAATATATACCCCCCCCCCCCCCAAAAATTAAGTCAATTCCTACTTAGGTCCACAAAGAAAAATTTAAAAAATACAAAATTAAATAAATTAATAAATAAAAATACAAACAGAATTTTTAAAAATTAAAAATTAAAAAAATTTTAATATGTGAAAAAGCTGTATTAACATCAAGTGTCATTCACTACAAGTTTAAAAAATTCTATTTGAACTTGAGTGGATAAATAAAAAGCATTTTATGTACTGAAAATTTGAACAAGATATAGGGAGAGTGTGAGCTAATAGTAGGAATTTAATAATTTAATAATACGGGATATTCCTTTCGCAAATGAGGCAGTTTAAAAAAGAAAAAGAAAAAAAAAAAATCTCTTTGAACAGGTCGCTCTAAATAAATCTTTCGGGCTCATTCTTGCCATTTTTTGCGGTTTTGCCTCTGCTTAATAATTGCACTTAATAGTAAAGTTTCAGCTATTAAAAAAATCATGATTCGGACAACTTGCTGCAAACATACAGAAGCACAGCGAAGTAATAAGATACAGCTCTGTTGACGCTATATTACAGCGTCACGTGATTTTTGCACAAAATAATTCTATTGGTTAAACGCACTCTTCGCAAACGTACTCATTTGGACGCTTTCACGCTGGTAACGTAAAGGCGCGTTCGTCAGCTACGTTTCGAGCGTACTCGTGTGGACGGGCCTTTAGGTAAAAAAAAAGGTAACTAAAGTATATTTTAAAAAAATATTTCTAAATACCATATATCTTAAGTGACCATCTAAAATGCTGCTGATTTGTAAAAATGTATTTATTGCTTTGCTTAAAAAAAGATCTGAAATTTCAGAGGTGGCTGGAATATATGCATGGTACATCTACACAGTTTTAGGGCTGAATTCAGAAAGAAACAAGATTTGAAGAAAACAACTTGAACACTTTTAAGCTTTCAAGTTACATAACATTTAATGCTATGAATTTCAAATCTATCATCAAGCTTATATAGATTTAGAGCAAACGTTCTGCCATTATACTGGATCACTGAGATTATCAGGCATTGCAAGAAAATCTCATAATTGAAACTATTTATCAATATTGCATAGGTCTTTGAGTTTATGTGGATGGAGGGTATATTATACAAACCCATAACTTAGGATTTCTGAGATCACGTCATAGCAATCATCAGTTCGTATCTAACTGCTATATACTTTGTTGTTTGCTACAGACACTTATTCCATTTATCAGTAAATTGTCTGTATCTCAGAAAAGTCATTTCTACATCCTGTCCTATTTAATATTTTGACATATCTCACACTTCCAGGAATACATTACCATTGTATACTGATTACACTGCAATTGTCATTCTAAAACGCACCTCCTAGTTCAGCTGGCCAAGCATTTGAAATTGCGTACAAGGGTTGTAATCCTGGTTTCAAATGTGTTAAGTTAGCATTAATATCAGTAAATCTAGAGCCACGCTATTGACATGCTGAAGAAATATATAGACAGATTATTCCATGGACCAAGTCAATTAAGTACGTCATTGTTATACTCGATAACCAAGAGGACATGTAGGCCTCACATAACAAACATTATTTCTAAATTGTGAGTTTGAAAAGTTACACATTGTCCCTTAATTTTTTTGAAATACAGTCTCTCTGTCTCTAGACAACAGGCTACCTTTTTGCTTTCTGTATTCTTTTATACCTATCTGATGTGGGGTTATGCATCTTGAATATATTTGCAATGGAACTCATATGCCATGTTTTGGTAAATAAAAAAAACAAAGAGAATTTGTTCAGAATATTTACATTGAACTTGGAATTAAGCCAATGCAGCCCTAATCTGGCAATCTCAGTTCTTGGCTGTCACTATGATGATAATTTACTGGTAGGGAAACAGATACGAGGAGTGGCAGTAAAGATCCAAAACACAAAATAACTGGTTAGTTCAAAATAATAGTAATACCCTACAATCTCCCAATTCTTTATAATTTGGTGCTTATTCTAAATTATGTAAGGCTCTGATTGCCATTTTTTCTCCTTCCAGTTCTTATGGTGTAATTACAAATTGCTTGTGGGTAACGATTTTGTGCTGTTTGACTAGTAACATCACATGATACATAATTCCTCCATAATCACAGAGCTATGCTCGCATTGTATTGCTTTGTTCTCAGGAAATTGTACAAATTTTATGTCTATCTTCAACTACAAAAGTAAGGATTTTCAATCAAATGGTACTGTTGAAGTTTCATTATGGACCTCTATGTTTTCCACTGGGTTTGGGCTGCTTTCCCCAGGAACTTATTTGCAGTACTGCTATACCCTAAGAAATCACTAACCTTCTGTTGCTTAAAATAAAATTTTTAAAAAAAAGAAAGAAAAAGAAACTAGGTTGTAGATATCAAATTTGGCTAAAAACAGGAGTGCCCTTTGTATTAAACCACTTGATAGTTGTGTTATGTGAAGGCACTGTCTTCTAATTTATAGCAGCAAATAGTTATGTGAAATCAAATAAAGTTTATGTTTTTGTTTGTAAACAAACTGTATTTTAATGAAAAGTTGTGTAAAATGTGATAGTAATCATAGTTATCATTTGGCAGTTTTGTTGTTACTGGTTGAAAAACTTGACCTAAAATACATTTGTATCTGTGTGTATGTACGTACGTACATGTATGCATATATACTATTATTTTTGCAAGCTATATGTGCGAGTTTTTAATGGAAACTTTTGTTTCTAGAATAAGAAAAGTATAATGGAAAAAGAAAGGATAAAAGCCATAATCGAACAAGAAGAAAAAAATCTAAGTGGAAGTCGTCATATAGAGTCTGAAAAAATTAGGAAAAAGTTATCTGATAGAAATCTTGTTATTCACGAGGTTTGTTCCTTTCTTTTGCAAAATTTTAAAGATGTATTCAGAATTAATTTTCTTCTAAAATTATGCATTAAATATTTCATTTATTGTATCTTTCAGACTGATCAAAAGGAATAATTGATATATAAATAGATATATAAGTGTTGAAGTCATAGATTTAATATTTATTATTATTGCTACTAAAAAAAAGCTCATGATTGATAATACTGAATTTTACCAGCTTACCACTCAGAAATAATGTTACACAAACAAGCTATTTTAAATGTAATCCCTTTGTATGGCAGGGCACTTTTTGTAGTGTTTCGGTAGTACACTTAATTTTAAGGAAAAAATTCCCCATTATGCTGTAAAAACCAGCCATCGACAGCATACATAGCATCATCTTCAAAATTTATTCCATGTAGACTTTACTCCAGGTTTGCAACTAAAAAAATATACCCGAAGCAAAATTTCGCTAATGTAAACTGTTGGCATTTTATAGTAGTCTTAATAGCTGTTGTCTTGACATTGGTCTGCAATGAAAGAAGTCCCTTTATCAGCTCGTAATTTCTTCATGCAGTTGTGCTCTTAACTGTGCATAATACTATACAATGTTTATTTTTCCATACTCAGTTAATGAATTGAGCCCTTTGGCATCCTAGAAAGTGCATGTCAGTTTTTGCTCACAGGGAAAGATATTTGCAGATCATACTGTCTTATTTGCTTTCTAGATAAAAGTGGTGTATCCAAGTTCACTTATCTATACTGATACTCTATTCGATCTTCCTTGAACATTGTTAAATGTAACTGAAATTATCATATGATTTATTTATTTATTTTTTTGTTGTTAACATTCTTCATGCCCATTCAGGATAAGACTTCTGTGAACATGAGTTAGTTTCTTAAAAGTATTTGTGCACTGCTAGATGAAAAATCTATTGTCATGCACGATAGTCATGGTCCATCTGACATAACAATTTTCTCCACGTTGGGAACCATTTTCACGATTGATTTAGTTGAGTAACAGAAAAACAGGTAATCCTCATAGGAGGTTCTTCCAGAGCGAAATTCTGTTGCCTGTTTAGTAGCTGTGGAATAAAGTGGATCAGTCTTATATTGTCCTAACAAATCCTTATCAATACTGTAATCCAGTGCCAACTGTAATACTGTAATTAGCTACATGAATTGATGTTAAATAAATTTCTTTTGCTAATTATTGGTTTCTTTAACATTTACTCATGTACGTTTGAAAAATGTAAATTAGTTTTTATTGTGTTCCAGCACTGATGTGCATTATAATATTTACCAGCATTTAAAAAAATCTTCAGCACCCATTCAGAAGGCATGTATATGTATGCTTATACATTTTGTTTTTCTACAATATATGAACAACATATGATATTTCATGTTTGAATTATTGTAATGCTTTTGGGCAGAAAAGGAATATGTAGTAAAACGTCATTAATCCGGACAACCATAATCCGGAATGATCTATAATCTGTACCTCAAAGCTACAAACTTTCTGCGCATGCGCGTAATACCTTTACGCATGCGCATAATATGTTTATGCATGCGCTTATAATGTATAACAGACGGTATAAGCTAAGCTAAAATTATCTAATTATCTATTTCAGTTAATGTTGCAGATTGCATTGTTCCTTAATCTTCGAATTGGAACCAGCTTATTATTTTTTGCAGACTGTTAGAGGAATTTTATAAAAGTAAGTTGGAACTTTCGATTATGTCAAATAGAATTTCCGATGCTGGATCTACAAAGGAAAGGCATGTTTCGATGTCCATCAAACAAAAAAGTGGAATTGCTACAAAAATGGATAAAGGCTCCTTTGTTTCTCTAACCATTCCGAAATCTGTTTATCAATTTCATGCTGCTCTGCGCCGGGGGATGGATAATCTGTCAGCACTATCCTTATCTTCAGGGCAGATGTTTTTATTTTATTCGGCTATGTAGTATTTCATCTCGATGTACTCCGTCTTTGACATGATTTAAATCAAATTCCTCGTCATTATAAATATCACGAATACAAATCAAATAATTTTTTGGTTGCAATTTTCTAATTTCGACTATGCGTAATGTATGCTTTACGCATGCGCGCGTTGAAAGAAATGTATAATAAAAGTAAACAAATAAGTATTAAGCTTTTTTTTTTGTAAATTTTGATACCCTTCAGATCATAATTGCTCTTTATTTCATAAATTACAGTTTTCATATTTTTAATTTTATAATATCTGCATGCCATCTTACCAGATTTAAACTGATGATCTATAATCCAGAAAAATCAATAATCCGGAATCGCCGAAGTCCCGACGAGTCCGGATTAAAGACTTTTGACTGTATTTTATTAGATAATGCAGTTTTTTATAATACGAATGTTGTAAATGAAATAAAGAAATGTCTTTTATTCATCTTCTGTTCTTTAGCAATCATAAAAATTGCTCACCTGAGTTATGTGTATCTCTTAGTAGAAAGCATCTGATCATTGCTAGACTGAAAAGTTTCCAGAACTGCCACTATATATTTTTTCTAAGTAATTATACGTGTGTTGGGAACATTTTCATATAAATTGAAAGCAGATATCAAATTATTTGGTTTTAACAAACATTTAAGCAAGACAACTTTATATAGTTCATTAGTAGATGTGTTCAGTCAGTATTTTTGTATTTGGAGGCAAGAACTGCTATGGAGATCAGATCCTAATTACATACTGTTCTTAGGATTTTGTCAGCTGCACTTTTCCATTATGAGATTTTGAATATCTCAATTGTAGGTATAGCCACACTTGCACAGTTAATGAAATAGATTCAGGTTCTGCACAAATGATTATCACACACGGAATTGTGGGTATATTCTATGGATATGGTTTTAGTTGATCACAGAAGTGTGTGAAATTGCGGAGGCCATGGATACCTCTTATGATAATATTTTGCACGAAGATTCGGTTTTATAAAAGCTTCCCATGAGATGGATTCTGAATTTGCTCTGTCTTTTCAAGCCCGAATATCAAGCCAGTGTTTGGAAATTTTTAAGAGATATGTATTGGTTTGGTTTCTGAAGATGATTTATTATGATGAATGAAACTTGAACATAGCTGGTTCTAAAGATTTGATGATTTTACTGCTTGATTGTCTTGAAAAGAGTGATTGAGATTTGTAATGTCAAGATTAGCATGTGTAGAATGAATTGAAACTTAGGCTTTGGATCAAGCCATACTCCTCATACTGGTAACAGAACTGACATCTGTTATTTATTTATTTATTTTGTAAGAATGATAAATTTAAACTGCAACTTTCTAAAAGCTAGTATAATTTTTAATGGAGTGGCAGCTATCATCAAAGTGAGAAATGAAACATACCATATGGATGTTTTATTCATTTGGAGGAGAATCAATATATCAATGTGCTTGGATACTTTTTAATCATGCAGTCTATCTTGCATATGCATATTATATGTACTTGTGTAACTAATAGTCAATGCATACTTTCATTTCCTCAATGGTTTTTCTCACAGTGGGATTTACTTCATTATAGTTTATGCAATGACTGTGCAGCATGGCATTAGGGAAATCTTCAAATGAAAAGGTCATAAGTCATCATTTGGTTAAATACTACAATCTCCTGTTCATTAGATTCTCATCCTGTGATCCTTGGTGAATCTACTGTTTGGAACTCCTTCCTAGGAGCAATTTAGGAAAGTGAACAAATTATACTTAATATCATGTTACTCAAAAGGTTTTCCTTTGCTTGCTAGAATTACAGTGGAACCTCAAGATACAAGTGTAATGTGCCAGCACTGAGCTCGTATAGCAAATTTCTCATAACTAGACACAAACTTCCCCATTAAAAATAATGAAAATCCAGTTAATCCATTCTGCACCCCAAACAATATAAAAGTAAAAATCAATTTTCCTAATAAATAACACTGGTAAATAATGTAACCATAGTTTACCTTTGTGAAGAGTCCTGACTGGCGATAAGGATGTGGGGAAGACGAAACAGGTTACTGTGGGGAAGGAGAGTTCTCCTCTGATTCAGGAATACTCTATTTTCTTGGGAATTTTACCCCACCTGGAAGCAGAATGACTTAACTTTCTTTTAGTTGCAGTTTGCTTTACCAAAAACATATCTAATAACTCTTGCTTCTGTCTCCTTTTTCAGATGCCTCTAAAATGTGTCACAAGTTCATGTTGTTCCCACATACTGCTGTATTAGGGTGATTTTCTTGAAAGAAACTTTTCTCTTCCCACTTTGCCAACACTTCTTTAATCTGACTGGAAGAGAGGACCTCATCTCCTGTTCACTTCTTCCGTAACAAAAGCTTATTTTCCACCTCTTGCTGCTGCTCCTTGTGAAGTTCTTTAAATTTGTCCATTGTAAGTTCTTTACTGTGCTCCTCCACTAACTCATCCAGATCAGCACCCAATACACATGCAGACCCATACTTTTCCCCAGCGATACAATTTCTTTGACTTGCTGCACTGTGTTGTCCACAGTTTGAGAATCAAAACTTAAGTCAAGAATACTTTGAGGCCACAGGTTTTTTCCATGCTGAATTCAGACTTTCCATCTTGAATTCAGGCTTGCGAAGACTGAGACTTCTTCGCAGGCCTTATTTAATGAGGTTTAAACAATTTAGGATGTTGAAGTGATCCTTCCTAAATTTTGAGGGTCAGGCGTGTATTTTTGGTCACTTCAAAACACCTTTGAAATAGCACCTTTAGAAACACTTTTGTCACTTTAAAACATTTTCGTGTACAGCTTCTTAAAGCTGGAGAACTAGAATGGTGTTGGGAGGAAGAAACTTGACTTTTTTTAACTGAAATTTCTCCATCAAATCATCTTAAGCCCTGGAAGATGTGCAGTAGCATTATCAAGGATGAGCAAAGCCTTGAGTGGCAACTTATTTTCCTGAAGGTATTTCTTCATTTGAGGGACCAAAAATTTCATTAACCCACTCGAAAAATTGCCGTGTTACCCAGGCTTTGCAGTTAGTCAGTCAAATCACATTCAGTTGTTTTTCTGCACCTTCTCCCTCTTGAAAATTTGTGGATTTTCTTAGTGATAAACGAGCAGTGGCTTGATTTTACAATCCCCACTTGCGTTGCGGCAAAACAAGAGGGTAAGCCTATCTTTTATTGGCTTGTGGCGAGGTAAAGATTTCTCCTCTTTTGTAATGGTGATATGCTTAGGCATTTTCTTCCAAAAATGACCTGTTTCATCACAATTAAACACCAAAGAAGAAACCCATCACTAGTAATAAATTGTTGAAACTCTGGCTATTTCGAACCATCCACGGTTTGCCTTAAATGCCATTTTATCTTCCGTTGATGTACCTAGTGTTTTTCGGAGAAGGTTCAAGCACAGATTCTCGGCCTTAGCGTAAATGATAGCTTCAGACTCCGAATCAACTGCTTCTCATTAATTCACAACAACAGCTTCTCAGCATCTTCGAAGAGTTTCAGACGGGTGCTTGGAAGTAACAGTAACTCCTTTCGTTGTGTCAATTTCCTTAATTTCTTCAGAATAGTGCAGATTGTCGATGTCAAACAGCAGTAAGTCTTCTCCAATTCCATGACTCTTACAACCATGCTTATGTTTATCTGTAATTTCTTTCTTAATCTCAACGGCCATAAGTTCCTTCTTTGTCTTGACAGCACTATCTGAGCAACATTCTTCTTCGGAGGCATCATGAAATAATTATTTTCATGTTAAATATAAACACAATGAACGCACAAGTGTACAATCACGTAGTTCCAAGAACACTGAATGATCTGACAAGGGGATTTCCCGAGTTGAGCCGAATCGGGAAACATGCCACAGATGCCAACAGCCTGGCTCGTTGCTCTTTACTCAAGTCAATGCTCGTATTTAGAGCCAAATTTCTCGTATATAGAGGTGCTGATATCTCGAGGTTCTACTGTATATTGGAAACATGGGTTATTCAAAAACTACCAAACTTCAATATATGCTTTATAATTTTTTTGCCAACTTTTAGATTGTTGTGCATTTTCAATTCATATAATCTTTAATTTTAATTTTCATCATATATATTCAGTTATGTAACTGATTTTTTTCCCCTGTTTCAGATTCCATCTGATGGGAATTGGTTTGTTGATTTTTTAATTTCCTTTAATATTTGATTTACTTAATTATGTGTATATTTTTTTTAACATTAAGGCAAAATTTAGGAATTCTAAAAAGTGAAATTTTCTGTTTTTCTAGCTTGTATAAAGCTATTGAACATCAACTGTCAACTTTAAATTTGCAGGTATGTATGTTTTATTTTCTCCAGACATGTTAAAAACATAATGTACATATTTGTTTATGTAAAAAACAAATGTGATTTTGATTTGAATTTGCATTCTGTAGAAAATTCTGTAAATTGACCAAAAATAACTAAAAGCTGTATTGAGTATATAACAGGGATGACCAAATTCCATGTCAGCAGGAGCCGCATAGTAGAAAGGTTTTTAAAATGGTAAAATCGATTTTTGAATGGAAAGAAATATTTTCAGTAATTTAACTGTGATATATTTTATAAATTAACATGGTTATTGAATATAAATAAAAATAAATAATTTTTATTACCCTTGCACTGTATTCAGGAATGTATTCTTTCATCACACAAACTGTAGACTTTTATATTATGTACTAAACATTCTTTTTTCAGCCCAGAAACCGAGCATTTCTTTTAGTGAAAAACATTGTTTGAGAATAGGAGTAAACTAAGAAAGAAAGAAGACATTGCAGCCTTTAAAATAATGAAAAATAATTGAAGATTTCAAAAACAGAACTGAAGTGTTAATTGTAAAAAAGTGAGATGGGAAAGAATGTTTTGAAGCAATTCTGAATTTCAATATTTAAAAAAAAAATTAAAATGAACTCTAAATTTAACGGAATTTTCACATGAAAATAATTGTTCAGTTTTCCTATAATATAATATATAAATAAAAAAATCTATCCCAAAATCATTTAATTAAGAGCGTTTAATACCCCTTTCTCATGTCGATTTTTAATAACAGATGGCGCTACGAACGTTGAGCGATAAAGACTCAAATCTGTAAGACTACCTACAGCCTGGTTACTATGGCAACGACGCTTCCTTCCTCTGTACTTGTTTGGCGGGAAAGTGAGTAAGCCATAAAACACATCCCCTCAGTTGAACAAAAGACCTGCTGTCATTTCTTCCGTCTGTGACTCAGACTGCAGGGTATGTTTTGAACAGGAATAGAACTTTTTCACTTTGTGTTGAATGAAAGATATCTGTGAGATACGTGCAGCAGTCGCTATTTCTTTTCGCAAAATTTGTTCATCACGCTTTTCAATGTTGCGTAATGTTTCATAATTTGCCGTTATTTTGCGGAAGAAAACAAAAAATTTCATCGCGACATAAAAATTATATATAAATGATTTTATACTTGATGATATGTGTATACATATATAGCATGCACATAATATTCCATTTACTCATCCATCCATAATATTTCATAAATTACCATCCATAATATTCCATAAATATGTGTTAGCACTTTCCAGAGCTTTATATATATTTTTTACTTGTATTATAAAATCGTATAACACACTCCTAACTATTATTTTTTTACTTCAAAAGTGGATAAATCATTATCAAATTTTTCTAGTACACGGAGAAATGGTCTATGTATCCACACACATAAACGTAGTAAAAGATACTATTCTTGATTGAATATCTTTTGGCAGCAATATCAAGATGCAACGAAAATTCGAAATCAATTAATAACATGCATTTTATTACAAAAACACTAGCAGGACGTATTATTTGCACAAAAAACTTAGTGTGGAAATAATTTGCGGCACATTATCTGAGATCCGCTTTGAATGAAAACTACATAAAGTGTTATAATGAACAATCAGTTTCAAGATTTCACTTGATACTGAAATGCATAAAATCAAATTGCGTTTCTATGTTTCAGGTTTATAAAATACAGCTGATAATTGAAGGGGTATCAGGTTTATAAAGTACAAGCTGATAATACATGATAAGGGGGAAGAAATTCCTAAATTACAAAATTGAATATTATATTTTAATAAAGTAAAATGATACATATTATAGATACATCCTAAAAAACGATAATATATATATATATTGTATATCGTTGTATACCGTATATATATATTATGTATTTATATGTATATCTACTCTTTTCCGGATGTAACTGTAATTACGTACTGTGCTGGTTTATCATCTTCCTGTAGCGATGCATTTGGATTTGCTGTGTATGAATCTGTTTCATTGAACAGGAAACAAATAGGAAACAGAATATTGAAAATTGAATTTTTTTTTAAGCATTAGTAATTTATATATGTTAGATTGACTAAAAAGAGTATATTCATGCATAACGTATAAATAAGCGAAGTGAATACTTTTTGGCAATCACCTTTCTAGGATGATCATTTTTGAAAATAACCAGTACTGTTGATAACATAAACACCGGTACGATCTATCTGCCTAAGGGAAAGGATGCTTTCGTGGAAGACTTTCTAAGGGAAATTGACTCCTAGACACGTTACACAGGGTAAAACCACGAAAGCGCAACCAGTCCCTTCGCGGGATTCGAAACTCGGACCGAACTACTGGTGTTCAGCTACTTTACCGCTTCGTGCCTCATTTCAGAGCGGATTCGCTATATATGAAACAGAGCAATGTGCTGTTACCGTATTTAGCAGCCTGCCTTTTTCCTTGACCTACCATAAAAAAATAAAATAGCAAAATTATAACAGCGTTTCTAAAAAGATGCTTTGCGATATTCTCATTAAATCTTTATCCTTCTGCGCTACTAAAAACGAAGTACGATTATTTCAAATTCAAAATTTTATAACATTACTTTACAGAAAGTGATCTCATGTCTTCTAAAAATGAAAAAACCCAACATCTGTTTCTACTCAAGCGCTTACTTTCTAGACAAAGTAATTTCAGTGTAACGTACGTTCAGTTTTATCTAACTTTGAACGAAAAAAAAAAACTATGTACATAACAGGCAAAGATATTAACAGCACATAAATTTACTCAATTATATTGGATTACCAGAGGAGAAAAAAATAATCCGATGAGATAATTCTCTGAGAATTCATAAACGCTAAATTAAGAATAAATTTTATAAAATGTTTACTAATGAATACATGTATTTCCATAGTAAATTTCCTTTTTTTAAAATTTTTCCATCTTTTATCACGTTTATCGGAGTGTCGTATTTAACTTCACAATTATGCTCCGAAATTTCATTGCTGTAGATTGGATGATTACCAATATATAATCCTACTAGTAACCAGAGGCCAGTATTAGAGGTTTTTTGCTGCTCACTACAATATCTGTGGCTCTTACTTCTGCCACGCGCCGCCAGTGGCTGAGTGGTTAAGAATATTGATTACTGGAAGTTCGACCTGGTTTCGGTTCGATCCCAGGCGAACCAGCTGGCTGCATGGTTTGTTTTCCTGTTGTGCAACATGAATACGAGCCAGTTTCCTTCAGCAATTAGGCTCACCCGCGGCCCGAGCGGTTAAATCGCTGAACACTGGTAGTTCCGACCTGGGTTCGAATCAAGGCGAACGGGCTGGCTACATGGGCGTTTTCATAATCTTCCCCGTGTGTAACGTGTATGGGGAGCTTTGCTATAAACTAAACTAAGCCTTCAGAAACTTCCTCCACGAAGGCATCTGCTATCTGCCACCTCGTCGTGGCTTTGCTATATTCAAAGAGCCTAACCCAATTCTAGCACTCAGTTCCTCTCTAAATTCTAGTGGCGGGCGAGCGCTAAAGTCGCCTATTACTGGTAGTTCAACCTCGGCACATTATCTGAGTTCAGCTTTGAATGAAAACAACATAAAGTGTTATAATGAACGATTAGTTTAAAGATTTCACTTGATACTGAAATGCATAAAATCAAATTGCGTTTCTACATATCAGATTTATAAAGTACAGCTGATAATTGTAGGAATATCAGGTTCATAAAGTACAGTTGATAAATACATGAGAAGTGGGAAGGAATTCATAAATTACAGAATTTAATGGTTGTAACGAAAATTTTAAGCACGAACGTTCTTCATAAAGTTATGAAAAAAAAAAAAAAAAAGCAGTCAGTACCTTTAGTGCGGATAGTAATCACTACCAAAAATCTATGCTTTTCTGCTTTCTGCCAATTTTTTGGTAGTTTTTCAAAACCTTCGGCTCCGGAAACTTGGTGGCCCGAGTCCAAACACAGGTCAACCTCATTTCGGACGTCTTGTGCAGAAGTGAAGATAGGACCAGCAAGATGTAGCTGAAAAAAAAAGTCCGAACGTGCGATGTCGGGGTTATATGGTGGGTGTGGTGAAAGATCCCTTTCGAGTCCGTACAGAGGCCAGCCGGTGAATGCAGACACGTATGGTATTATCTTGATGGAACGTTACCTTTCTGCGCCGGAACTCAATTCGACTCTTTTCCTTGATAGCAGCGTCAACATGCACTAGCATCTCGTTGTATCCTTTACTGTCAAGGGTTTTACCTTTTTCCATATACTATTTGTGATTAATACCACGGCAATCCCACCAAATACAAAAGAATGATCTTTTTGTTAGTCAAATTACGCTTTACGATGCTGCCGACGGACTCACGGGCGCAGATCAACTAAATTTTTGGCCTATGTTGTTGAAATAAATTTATTTTTCAACACAAGTGACTATCCATATCACCAGATCCAAAGCATGATCTTTTCGTTAGTCAAATTACGCTTTGCGACGCTGCCGACAGGCTCACCGGGCGCAGACCAGCTCCCTTTTCGACCTGTATTGTTTGTGTAAACTTGTCTAACTTTGAACAAAAAAAAAAAAAAAAAAAAACTATGTATATAACATGCAAAGATATTACAGAACATAAATTTACTCAATTTTATTGGATTACCAGAGGAAGAAAAAATACTCAGATAACTCTCTTAGAATTCTTAAACGCTAAATTAAGAATAAATTTTATAAAATGTTTACTAATAAATACAAGTATTTTAAATAATAAATTTTTCCATCTCTACATATACCACGTTTATCGGAGTGTCGCATTTGACTTTACAATTAAGCTCCGAAAATTTCCTTGCTGTAGATTGGATGATTACCAATATACTTACAATCCTACTAGTAACCAGGGCCACTATTAGGGATTTTTGCTACTCACTACATTATCTGTGGCTCCTACCACACGCCACCAGTGGCCGAGTGGTTAAGACTACTGAATACTGGAAGTTCGAACTGGTTTGGGTTCGA